AAGTTGAAGCCAACAGTCCAGTGGCTGTTGGATCTGGGTTTGAGCAAGACTCAGGTTGTCAAGATTGTGGCCAGCACACCTCAAATTGTTGGATATAGCATCGAGCACAACTTAAAGCCGACAGTCCAGTGGCTGTTGGATGTGGGTTTGAGCAACTCTCAAATAGCCAAGGCGGTGACCACATTTCCTCCAATCCTTGGACTTAGCATTGAGAAGAATTGTAAGCCAAAATGTGTGCTGCTGTTTGGCGCCTTTGGTCCAGACTATTCCGTACAACTGATTGCCAGATTTCCACAAATTCTGAGTTACAGCCACGACCGACTTACTTGGCGGTTGAGTGTTTTAGCAGGCCGAAACGAGACCATGAAACTGGCTGCTGCGATGAGTCTTAGTCCCGATGCTTTCCAGAAGCGCTTCCTTTGTGATTCAGTTCACTTGGCGCCCGTCGAAGTCTGAAGTGCAGGAAAGAGTCTCAAAAAGGCGGTGAGACCTTTGGGATTTCCCTCGCATGGTGCAGCTTTTGACCCTTAGAACTCGCTGCAATTTGCATAAATTTGCCCGTGGCTGCAGAGACGGTCGTCCCAATCATTGCATATTGTTGTTAACTGTTCTTACATGCTCTTGCCTGTTGGGCTGTTTCCAGTCCAGAGCTAAGACCTTGTGATAATCATTTCTTTCAGAGGGTGGGTGAAGCATTTGAGAGTCCAACCCGCTTGGGCACCTTGTGGCCTTGTGTTTCTCACGAGGCGCCTGTTTTGGCCTTCCATCCGACCGGTTTTTGAGAGGCCTCGGGTGCCACGATGTCTCAAGAGTTGCAGGCCCTGCTGGCGCGGCACCTTGACGGAAATCGAAGGGATGTCGGCTTTGGACTCCTAATGAGACTTTGCTTGAACACTAGGAGGTTGTCCAGAAACTCTAGGTATAGAAAGGTGGAGTTGATTGGAATCCATCAGTTCCAACCCGGTTGTCAGCAGTTTCGCATGCTTCAGTCAGGAAGAGAATGAGTGAAGCAAACCATCATTGGTGGTTAAGACCAGTATTTGTAGAGAGAATAGTGGATGGGTGTCATCAGATGTATCAACCATGTCCAGTTCTAAGTAAGCCCAGCTCAATATAACTATTGAAATGGTTTGAGAAGAGCTGCTGCAAGCTCTTCGCATGCAAGAGGGGCCCTTTGGGCGGGGTGTGATCCAGCAAAAAACTATAAAAGGTTCACCTCATGGATCAATCAGCAGCAATGTTATTGACAACATTCACTCGAGTCCGAGTTAGCTTGCTGATTGACCTTCGCGGTGATTTTATAGTCACCCAGGCGGCAGCCAGCTACTGACCATGAAGGAGTTTCTTGTATCACCTTCCAATCTGAAATTCCAACGTGAAATTTATGTCCATGGGTATCCGTGTAACGAGTGTGGTTCGTTATCGCCATGTTGGTGTTGATGGTGGCGGTGATGTTTATTCTGCTTCTTGATTGATGGTTGATGGTTTTATTTCCAAGTGCCCCTGTGGTGGCACTGGTTCTGGTCGGTTGAGTTTGTGTGGTTGTTGCAGTCGTCATCCTTTTGAGCTTGACAAGAAAACCATTTTGAACATCAATCTCTCGCTACTCTTAGTCTTCAAGAACCCAACTCCAACTTTCCCTTGGTTGCCTATGAATGTTGTTGAATACCTATCAGGTACTGTTTGGTAAGATTTGGTATGCTGATGGCACAGTTCCAATGAGAACTGGTGAGCCAAGCCAGCCTAGGATTGAGAACATCCCGAAAGACTCGTCCGGCAAAGAGCTTCAAGACACCTTGCAGAGACTGGCTCCTTGGCTAACACAACAGGGGTGTCTATGTTTTGGCTGTCTATATCAGACTTTGCGGGTGGGTGAAGATTCAAGGGATCATGTCATTGCACAAAGATAGTTCAATAGCCTTATAAAAGCAGAGGATCAACGCTGTTGGAGTAATTGTTGTTATTTGCGAGATCGTTCTCCAAACTGCATGTTTTGGACTATAGTCCGGATGTACACCATACCCCTCGCAGAGAAGCAATTTCATTAAACGCCTAATCAAGGGCTTGTACTTGTACAGGAATAGTGTTTTGGAAGCAATGATATTGATCCATGTTTGTTTACGAAACCGTCAATATTTGACATTGTGGCAACTGTGATATGCCCAATAACGGGGTATCATCCGATTGGTTTTAGTTGTTTTGTTATTGGAACAAGTTTATTAGGGGACTGCCGAAGCACAATAAGGGTCGTGTACACTTGAAAACTTGGAAGAATCATACCCTCCACAGAGGAGACTTTCGACTGCAGCTCACCCTACTGACAGATAGATAGCTTTCGGGGCCCCAAGTGTTTTTGATCCAACTACCTGGCAGTATGTCACACCTGCAGGCTAGGTGAGCAGAGATGAGCAGAGCGGGTGTGTGTGCTTCCCCAAACCTAAGCAAGTAAGACAGATCCTTTGTAGGTAGATTAGATTAGATTGTTGAATCCGAACTCGGACCTTCCTCACGAGGGTCTTCCTTTCAACCCAGCCTCCAAGCAAGTGCAGCTTTTGCGCGTGTGGAATTGTGGTTCTTATGGAGGCCATTGAAATCCATGGGTCCGATTGGGCGCCTGCTCGTACTTTCCTCGAGGAGGTATAGGCAACATGTTCACCAGACAAATCTAGTAGTGCACACGAGCTCTACGAGATGAGTAGATTGGTGCGCTTGCATACGCCCATAGAGATCACGAAGCAGGTCATGGAGAGTCGATATAAGTACTTATGCTGAATGCTCTGACTGGCTTTACATTGCGAGGCTGCCGACATTCATCAGTTGCTCCAAGACTCTGCAGTTGCCTTGCATTTTGAAGAGGGCCCTTGGAGGAGGTCCGAAGGCGACCTCGGGCCTCATCGGCATGGAAGGTCATCGCAGCCAGATTCGGTTTCGCAGCCACACTTTGGGAGTGTACACATTTTTGTGACTCCAAACTGGGCTGATGTTTGTTCTCCTATCATGCTGCAGTTGCACTTGCAGACCAGTGGGCCAGTGGCTCAACATTGCAGAATACCTAGATCTTCGTATGAGGCACTTTTCCAACAAGTTGCCTTTTACCGTACGGCAGCGTAAATTGTAAAGCTGCGGCGTTTCTTGATTTTGCGGCGGCATTTTGCGTGATTGGCTCGAATTTGTATAGTTGGGTGATTTGTGCCCTTCGTTGGGTATAGTTGTGTCAAACCCCGAAGGTTGATGAACGCACCCCAATGTGTGAACTTCTTGTCAACATACCGACCGGTAACCTTTGGGAAGATGCGGAATTGGTGCAGTGCTTGAACTATGTTTTACGGCTGGTCGTTCCGGAAGAGTACCAACTAGTGTTTCATAATTTGTTTTCGTGCTTCAGAGCTCCCTGAAAGAGAGTGATGGGCATTCAACACAACATTTGGAATTATGTTCTTGAGTTTCATATATATGTTGCGTGAAATTTGCAAAATTTGCTGGAAAAAATGGCGGCGTAAATCCGCGTAATGGCGGTGTAAATCCACGTACTGGCGGCGTAAATCCGCGTAATGGCGGCGTCAATTCCCGTAATCATGTTGGCAACATGTGTCAACCATGGACTGAGATTGCTTGGCTTATCAGGGTGTAGCATACACATGAGCACAAAGACTCTTGTTAGGGGGTGGTCAATTGTCAGAGCTTGCACAATGACCTTGAAGAATCACCCTGAGAAGAATCACCCTGAGTACCAGAAGTTGGGTATAGCTGGGTAAATTTGGCAATGCCTCGTGTCACTTGGGGAGTCTAACTGAGTATCCTTGAGCCTGGCGTGGAGGAGACATGCACCATCCTTCCCCATATATGGAATGTGGCGTTTTGTTTTTCTGGTGTTTCTTTTTGGATGAAGGCAATTTTCCACAATGGTGGCAAACATTTTGGCCACAATGGAAAGCGGCACTTTTTTCGTCCACCAGGTGGATCTAGGTATATTCAAAATTTGGGGAGTATATGACCTTGGCAGCCCACAGCAGCTGCCATGCGCTGCATCATTGCCAAGGACCCTGTGAGTCAAGCTCGCTTCTTACCCTCCAACATGGGAACCTTGTTCAGAGAGGTCGTTGGAATGGTGCCACCACGTGGCAAGAGTCTGATCAAGTCGGTGCCGCAAAAGATGACGAACCTCCCTGAGAATCGCGTAAGCCGATTGCACTGCGCAAGGACTTTTTGGTGAGTCTTACTTGGTGTGTATGCCGTATGCAGCTTCATCTTAGATGCGCTTGCAATCGAACGTCATTAACCCCCCACCAACCCACCTCTACAAGTCGTTGATAATGCCGTGCAAAGAACGACAACAAAGAGTGTGCAAAAACACGTTCAAAACCACAAAAACAATGTCTACTTTGAAGAGTTCACACTCTCCCCACTGGCCCAGCGGGTAGAATGTGCAAAAAGTGACACCAGTTGCACGCTCCGAGAGGCGTTCCTACCAAAAAAGGTAGCATCGCGTCCGGTGTCCCAGGAGATCGCACCAAATCGTAAAATAAAAGAATTTGGCCACGGTATCAACTTCAATGAACCAATGTCTCCAGGAGTGCCCCACGGTTTTCTTCAATGATTCAATTCCAAAATCTTTAGACTCTATATAAAGACCAAGGCCATAAAAGATCTGGCAGAAGAGAGCCAGTGAACATATGATTGTCCTTCCGCAAAAGGCACTTACAGGAACTGTTTTTTGAGGACATCCAAATCATTCTGAAACACACACTCCCAGATCAGACTACAGGAACGGTTCTTTACTTCTAGCAAAGAGGACCCTCTCCTCGCCCTTCTCATCTGAAGGAAATGACTCTTCATCCTGCCTTTATTCGCGCCTCTGACAAGAAACCCGTCGTAGTAATTACATTTCTCCTGAAACTTCTGCAGCGGCGCTTACGAAGGCATTCCATCCGAAGCAGCAACGGCACCTTCAGAGCCTGATAAGCAATAACTGCCGCAATTCGAGTTGCACATTTTTGCCTATGGGAGAGCATGCCTTCAGTCAATCATGGGAGTCAAAAAATACGGGCCGCCCTTTATTTGCGTAGCCAATTATTGTGCAGAAGATAGACCATACCTGTCATAACACCACTTGCCCGCATCTTGGAGAGGCTTTGAAGATGATGGTGACACATGGACCATCATGGAGTATCAACTCGGTGGAGAGACGCAGATTGCGAATTATTAACATGAGTCTTTTCGCTGGCTTCATGTACATACGCGGTAATATGAAGTTGAGCCAGGATTTGACTCGAATCGCCGTAGGGAATAATTTCAGAGGCAATGCGATCGCCGGCTTACTGCAGCAGCCCAGCTTGATCTGGATCTTCAATTTCGGATCTGCCGAAACCATTCAATTGCGTACGATGACTCGTACGGATGCTAGTAGCAAATGTTCATCAGCACCTTTCCACAAAAAAAATTAGTACCTCCAAAGCCCCATTTTTAGCACAGCACCTATACCCTGGCTTTGTGGCCCTGAGCAGTCCCTGCATCGATGTTTTCGTTTGTTTCTGAAACAAGCGAGGACCGCGACGTGGCGCGGCAGCATGCGCGGCTGGATGACTTGGAGCACGAGCGGCGGGAAGGCCGTGGAATCGGGTCAGACCGGGGGGATGCTTTCCAACGCAACGCAGGAAGAGGTGCTGAATTAGATGGGGAAGTGGCAGCTATTCCACGAAAATGGCCAAGGAGGTGGAATTCTGCAGGATGGCAGTAACGGTTGACCATGAACAGATTCTATAATGTATATACTATGATGTAATTTCTAAGGACTCTCCGGGCATTCAGATGCAAAAGGTGTAGTTCATGCATCATGGCAGAATATAACTATCCAAATCAGTAACCGGACAATCGATCAGACTAGCGCTCCCAATCAGTTGAATTGCCATAGCACACTCGATCAACAGAATGTTTGACTACGGATGGCCTCACCCAAAAATGAATCAATAGATGTTCCTGTTCCTGTTCAATGTTTTGGGATGTGTTGGGTATTACGGTATACTTGTTTGTTTTGTTTTGCGCAGAGAGGAACCCTACTTGCTCTCTTCCCATCTCTTCCCCAACCATTTCGACAACCCCAAATCCGACCCCGTCAGGGCAGTTGTTGGAAGAGGTGCTCCAAGACAAGGCCAGGTCCACCATCCGATCGGTGTTGGTTTAGGTGAATTGTCCTTTCCAATTTATATGTTTTGTAACCATGAGAATGTTTGAGGTACAGAGAAAGGGATACCAAGGATGCCGGTGTTGTTTCACGACCAGAGGGTGATGTTGCGATGTCACCTGGAATGGGATCAGGACCAATCTCATGCTTGGGGTTGGAGTTGGAATGCCACTCTCCGGAGCCTTGAGGGAGAGCCTTTGTCTATAGACAGAGCCAAAAGACAGAAGTATTTGGCCCTCGGACGTGGGGTTAGGTTCTCCAGTGACCTTTTTGGACGCGTTGGTGATTCCAAAGGAAACAGGATGGGTGTGGAGTACGAATACCCTTTGAGCACTGTGATTCAGATGTGTTTCTGCTCTTCTAGCAGGTCTTTGGGATCCTTTTCAACTCATACACGTCACATAGGCTTGGGAGAAGTATGTATCTACAAAACATGTCAGCTGACTTGGCCCCATTTGAGTGAGTGCTTCTGCATGTTTGAAGAAACCAACTTGCAGTGTTCCCCGTCCTCGAGGGTTCACCAAGGGTTGTCAGAACCAGGCCGGTCCCACCCAAAGGTCCAAAGATCCTCCTGAGAAGCGCCGAACAGTGTCAGCACGCCAAGCTGCAGTGCCAACTGTTCGGGTTGATTGTGGATGAACACGATTCCATATCTCATCAAACCAAAGATACCGACATGCAAATCCATGTTTTTTGCTGTTTTATCACTCCATGCAGCATACTTGTCATGACACTAAAGAACCAACACACCCCCTTTGCCAGCCGACCTGAAAAGCGCTCGATCGGAATCGGCGCTCGAGAGGTGAAGCGCATCGAAGACTTGGAGGCCAAGTCATCTCCCGAGGGCTCAGCAGGAACTGGGGGCAGCGGGGAGCAGGAAGTCTGGTTTCGTTTCAACGTGTTTTTCGTTGGAAGTCGACACAGACGTGAGAATCCCCTGCAGGCTTCCCAGATCCCTAAGTTTGTAACCTGGGCTGAATTCCCTGACTTCCAGACCCACCTTGGGTGTACGTCAGAAGTCTGGTTTTGTTCGAAGTCTTGTTCGTTGGAAGTCGACACAGTTGAGAATCCCCCTGGCTTCCCAGATCCCTGCACCTATGTTGGTAACCTTGGCTGAATTCCCAAAGTCCCAGATGGAGGAGCTGTGGAATGAATTCCCTGAAGTTGATATTCCACACCCATTTGACCCTTCTGAGTCCTTGGATGTACGTCAGAAGGACCAAACCCTTAGCCGGATTGGAAAGGGATTGTAGCACTATAGGCCGTTAAAGCTTGGGCAGGGTGACCCGTCAAGTCTGAGAACATGGGACATGATGTAACCAAACGGACCTATAACCTCCACAACTTTGGGTGGATACCTTGAAGGTCCAGGTAGGAAAACCTGAATGAAACCTGTTTTTTTTTGGCAGGGACCAATGTTTTTTCTTGTAAAAGTGGTGTTGAACAACAAAAGTTGCTTCTTCTTGTCGTTCTTCACATCTCCACAGAACGCCTATCCCGGACATACCATGAGACATTCAATGGAATATAATATCTACCTGGTTCTTCTAAAGTGACCTTTTGATATCCTGGCCTCAAAAAAGATCACTCTCAAGGGCTCCAAAACCCGAAACCAGGTCACGGACTGAAGAAGCTGGTACTTAGCTCTAATATCCATTCCACACCATTTCACTTGAAGGGACTATGGTGGAAGTTAGGGGCCGGTAATCTCTATCCAGTTTCTTCTATTTTGCAATTTCCAACTCAACACAACTCTCTCTATCCATTCCACACCATTTCAAACCACCCAGTCCGACCACCCAGTCTGACCACGCCGCCACAGCGCTAGGCGAAGGTCAGCAGTAGCGCCCAAAGTCTCCTGGCGCTGCAAGGCATGACCCGCGGGAGGAGCCCCCCAGAGCGGAACGGCTTCGGGCGGGAGGAGGGCGGCAGCGGCGGCACACGATACCGATCAGTTTCTGGGTTCTGAATGGTTCTTATGAGTCCTGTTGTTGGAGACCTTCCAATCTCAGATGTATACATATGTTTTTACTTACAGTTGGACTGTCCGAGATCAAAAATTGATCGAGTTGAAACTAGATAGAGCCTGTGGATCATTATGGGCCTTGGGATTGGAAAAGGCAGTCCCAACCAATTTTGTTGGAAGTGTTCCCTTTTTGCTGCCCACCTAGATGGTTCCTTACTAGTTGGAGAAAATCCTCCAAGTCAATATAATATTAATATACACCTTTCAGAACTCGTTTGGTTTTGCATGGCTTTGCTTTTGACAAGACACTTATGATGATGAGCCCTGAACAGAAGTCGCTACTTGGAATTTGTGCCGTGAGTTCGGATGAGGACATCATTTCACCGGACATTCCTTCGGGCGACAATGGCACTTGTTAGCACTTGTTACCTAACAAATTGCCATGGCCAGATGACCTTGCAGCCTCTCGAAGAGCACAAGACGCACTTGACCAGGAGCCACCGTGGACAGATGTCGCTGGAACAAACGTGATTTCAGGAATGCCTGTTTCATGTGGAAAAGGAGGTTTGGAACTGAGTCACTGTGTTAGTGGCTGATCACCCCATTGCATCCAAGTTCTCATTTGCACCTGGTGAATTCTGGGCTGGTGACCCGCACACGACAGAAGAAGGCCTCAAGGTGTACGTTTGCACCATTGGAGAGAGTTTGAGCATTTGTTGAACATCAGTCGTACTTAACAAATCATTTGCTGTTGAACAGTGTGAGACTCTCCCTATAGTATGATGTTTCCATATGGGATTCCCTATAGTATAAGACCCTCTCGCATTATTATACATGGTTTTCATGCATTTTCATGCGGGATTCTGCATTTTCGGATGTCTTGTACGGACCAGCTCATCGAACCTCGACGACAGCGAAGCGGTCGATCAGTTCGCGCCTCTGAGCAGAGGATCGAAGAGGATGGTCAATTCGGAAGGGTCTTGTACCTGCTTCCGGATACCTCCTTTGTATGATCTTTGATCTTTGTACGGTTGAGGTAATAGGGATGGTGTTTGGGGCAAAACCAGTCAATACACTCTGTACTCACATGGTCTTGAACCCCTTTGGGTGCAAGAGAAGACAGTTGTTGTTATTTCCAATCTGAGCCGTGCAACCTGGTCCGGACAGGAGCGTCGACTGAAGCTGCTGGAGACTTGGAGGCCACGCTGTGGGAACTGTGAATCCACACCGATGGTGTGCTGTTGCCTTTTACTGGCGGTTACTGTTCTGTTTTGGAGAAAGATGGCATGTCACCCAAGCGCATCATCATCATCTATGTCCTATATTATATATAAAGCTGTTTACAGTATAGAGCTAAGTGACCAATGTCCCACAAAAGAGGAAGCAATGCAGGCCGATTATTTACTACCTTGGAGCCTCTCGGTGCAACGCCAAGCTTGTTTTGCGTTTGGACATGCGTTTGTCAAAGGTAATCTCAATTTTCTCAGACCCTTTGCACGACTCACCATTCCAAAAAGGATCAAACAGGTATAGGGTTTGTGAGAGGAGTAGTAGGATGTGGGGGTATGGTGCCAGGACCCCTTGGAGCCGTTGGACCGTTGGACCGTTTTGCGCAGTTGACAGATGCGCGCAGGCAGGAAGAGGTGCAACAAGTCTTCAGCCGCAGCTTGGATGAACTTCTAGGATGAACTGCTCCCAGGGCGACCTGCGATTTTGTGGGAAAATGATAGGAAGCTTTTGCGCAGCAGAAGCTGCGAGCCACAGGAAACTCATGTAAACTTGGAGGATAACTCATGTAAACTCATGTATTGTGATCAGGGGGAACTCTATGTTGTCCTTGCAGTTTCAGATTTAGCACTTCGTTCTATAATGGTTGAAAGCTTGGGGATGGACTATGTGACAACGCGAGGACTTACTTAATCCTTTGGACCTACATAAACTGAGCAAAAGTTCAAAGGGGGGACTGCCACAAAATATTCTAAGAAGTCGATCTTCTACAGTAGAGTCAGTAGAGCTCGGCAGAGAAGGAACGACATGAGTCGTGGAGCTTGATTGAAGACATCCCTCGATTTGTCTATGGGAAAGAACATGTTCTTGAATGAAGCAAGTCCACTTGTCCTGCATGCAGGTGCTTATTAGTACAACAGCTCTCTCATGCGTTCTTCTCTGGAAATGATGAGCAGACCACCGCCATAACTTCTTTGTACCACCCCCTGAGAATTGTCCCGTGGAAGACCATTCCATTTTCTGAATACCAACCCAGTGGTTTCAGGGTTCCATGTTAATTTGCAGGGGGTACTTCTTGGATCTTCTTGGAGCATCCATGAACTTTGCCGCCCAGGCTACGACCAGAAGATCGAGTCGCTGACCCACAGAGTGGCGACGGAGGATTGGATCGGATCAGAAGAAGTGCGTTGACCTACAGTAGGTAAAGCAGTTATAATGACCTATTTATAGAATTGGTGCATAGAATTCTGATAAATTATCATTTCCTATGTACAGAATCCACACTGCATAGGTTCCTATCAAAGATCAAAGGGCATTGTCATTTATAATATGAGGATTTCTCTTCACTCTCTCCATGGCCAGTCGTGGTTCCAGGAGCTTCAGAAGATCTTCCAGCCGTTGACGACAGAGGCAAAGCAGCTAACTGAGCAGGTGACCATGCGGGTTGCAAATCTGGAGGAGCAAGTGACGCAAAGCCAGGCCGGGCGCGGAAAGCGCCGGGTACGTTTACCTGGTGGACGGTGGAAGCAATTTGAGTCAGAACACAAGTGAACATAGGTGCGCTTGCAACGGTTTCATTGAAACAAGCATGGGAGAGAGAGAGAGAGGGAGCTGTGGACTCCTTAAAGACTCCTCAACAATCCATGTTCCAAGTTCTAACTGCTTGATCAAAACCGATCATAGCGACGACCTGCTTGAGCAATAGGGCAAAGCCACACTTATGCAAACAGTGTGATGAACTCTAGAAGAAACGAACATTCTGATTCTGCGCACTATGACATGACTCGCGTCTCCACAGCCATATGGCTTGTACTCGGACACTCGCGTGAATCAACATATTAGACATAGAGTCTATGTGTTCAATTCCTTGTCTCTTTAATTTAGACAGACAGATACTGACCATTTTGCGGAACTCCAATAATAAGGCCAATATCAGAGCAAAGGCATGTTTCAAGTGTTCAAGAATCATATGCTACTCACTCTTCAGCAGCTACCATGAGGGTTGCGGCAAGATGTTTGCAGCAGAGATTCTCAAGTCGA